AATAGAAACTAAATTTCAAGTGAGAAACAGTGTGACAGAAATGAAACCTTTTTAGAAAAAAAAGAGAAAGATTTTCTTTTACTCAAGAGAGTTTCTTGTTGCTGAGCTGTAATTTCCATTCAAAACCACCGCATCTACCTGGGTAGTTGGATTTTTAAGTCACAGAATATAGAAAAAAAGAGACAATCTTGTAATTAGGACAAAATATCATTTGAAAAGATATTAAAATCTTTTGATTTAAATAGCCAGTTGATATAGGAAGCAATTCTCTGTTGGACTGAAAAAGAAATTTAGAGTTGATTGATTTTTTTGTCACAGAAGAATGATTATATTGTACTTGTTCAGTAACACTTTCAACTCTAGTTGTGATTACCAATTTTCCTACCCAGGAAACAGGATGACCACTGCTTTGCCTTTGTATGTATGTGTCGAAGGCCAGATAGAGAAAAGGGCAATCAGGGAGGCCTGTGAGGTATGAAAAATGGCCTGATTTGGACAAGGTTCAGAATTGGATAGACATATTGGAAAGACATGGGCTATTCTGTTTTTGCCTAATTATAAGTAAACAGAAAAAGCTCATGGGCATTCTTTCATTAAACACACATGTATTAAGCATCTGCTCTCTACTGGATACCAGGGACACACAAGGCGTGAAACACAATCCTTGCTTCCAAGAAGCTTAGATTTGGTAGAGGGAGATAGATCTGCAGTCAAAGGGTGTTTGCAGTGACAAGTGATATGCTAGACATATTTGTAGAGGGCAAAGCAGAAGCATACAGGAGGAGGTGGTCAATTTGACCTGATCCAGGGAGGTTAAAAAGATGATATGGTTTCTTCATTCAGCAAGTGCAGCTTGAATGTACCTGGCATTGTTCTAGGATCTGGGGATACAGTGGTGAACAAACCAGTAGCTCCTTCCTCCTGTAGAACTTACTGGGGAATCAGAGGAGGAGATAAACGTATTATAAACAAGTAGGCAAATAAATGCTGAAGATAATTATAGGTGGCGATAAGCTCTGAAACAAATAAGATGGAGAAATGTGACAGAGGGCGACAGAGAGAGGAAGAGAGATGTGCTATAGAGGATATTCAGATGCAACAAGGGAAGCACAATTGCTCACCCATAGGAATTTTGCTCATGCTGCTTCTGTAGCTTGGAGCATTTTCCTGAAATCCCACCATCACCCTTTTTTAAAATGTAGGTTTTGTTATTATTATTTTTCTTTTTTATTGTACTTTAAGTTCTGAGGGTACATGTGCAGAACGTGCAGGTTTGTTACACAGGTATACGTGAGCTATGGTGGTCTGCTGTACCAATCAACCCATCATCTACATTAGGTATTTCTTCTAATGCTTTCCCTTCCCCCGGCCCCCCACTTCCTGATGGGCCCTGGTGTGTGATGTTCCCCTCCCTGTGTCCGTGTGTTCTCAATGTTCAACTCCCACCTATGAGTGAGAACATGCAGTGTCTGATTTTCTGTTCTTGTGTTAGTTTGCTGAGAATGATGTTTATTATTGAGTAATGGTGAGTCCAACACATCAGAAGACAATTGCCATTGAAAACATGGTTTGTTTCAGCTCCAAGAAGAGGGCACTGGCCACACCTCCAGGACCACGAAGCCCCAGGGTTGGTGAGGAGGCAGGAGTGAGGGGGAAAAATGGGCAAGAGGCTTTTTAATGGTATCTGTAGGAAGGAAGTGGGCAAGGCAGGGTTAGCAGGCTTATGATTGGCTAGTTTGACAGTTTTCATGGGTTCTAGGGTGTAGGGGCTGGCTCTGGTTGTCTGGTACTTGCTCCTGGGATGATGGGGACAGAGGACTATTGCCTCCTGGAGTCTAGGAGCCACATAGAGGAGGTGGTTCAGAGTATGGGTTCTGGATTGGTTAGTGTGTATATGAAAGCTGTTTGCTCTCTCAGAGAATTGGCTAGCCCTGGGAGGGGCAGTCTCTGCCCAGTCAGTGAGACCCTGGATGCCAGAACATAGAGAACACAGAAATAAAATGTAGTTATTATACATCCACATCCTACCTTTTGCCAAGTGAACAAAGGATGCTCTTCCTTCAACTCTCAGCCTCAAATGGCTTCTCAGGAAAGCCATTACTAATTTTCTACTCGAAGTCAACTCCAAGTTAGTCTTTTACTAACTCCAAGTCAAATCCCTGTTGTGGACACTCATAGTCCTATATTCTACTTTTTGTAACTTTTACCTCAGTTATAGTTTTTCAAGTAATTGTAAGTTTTTTTTTTGATTTATGGCCTTCTCTTCCAGCAGACTATATACCCTACAAGGCCTAGGGCTTGCCCTTTTTTTGCTCATCTGCGTTGCCAGTGCCTGCTGTAGTCCTGGCACATGGTGTGAATGTGTAGGTTGTTGTCATGGCTAGAGCCAAGCCAGGGTGGACGGGGTTGCTGCACAGCAGGATGTAAAGATCACAGAGTCCAGGTCATGGAAGGCTATACAGTGTCACTGAGTTTGGACTTTTCCCCAAATGCAAATAGGAACTTATTTGTGGGCTTTCAAGAGATGATGAACATGATAAGATTCTTGTAAAAAAGAGAGGATCAAGAGTTTGCAACTGGAGGCAGGAATGGTAATTTAGGACACCATTGCAAGAAGCCCAGACGGAATGATAAGGGACAGAACTAATACTAAAGAGGAAAAAGAGACAGGACTTGGCAATTGACTAGCTATAAGGGAGAAGTATGGGCCAGCTTTTGGGCTCTTGATGTGGGTGGCTATATGTGACTGTTATCTAACAGAGAAGATACAAGAGAAGATGAAGGCTATCATAAAATAAGCTCAGTTTGGACATGAGTTTATTACTGTGGGATATCCGAGAGACAGTGTCTTCTTATAGGCAGTTGGGAAAATGAATTCAGAGCTTAGAAGAAAGATGTGAGTTAGTTATACAGATGTGGAAGGCATTAACTTGCAATTCGTTTTTATCTTAATTCTATGGTTTTTACTTTGGCCACTCCCTTTTTCCCTGAGTTAATGGTGTGCCTTATTCAGGACTTGAATATCTAAAGAAAACACATGCTTCGTTTTGACCTCCTTGCATCAATGATTAATCATGGTTTATGGGTCCCAAACAACAATGCTCAAATATACTTCATTGTTCTTGCTTTCCCCCACAATCTACTATGTACTTTCCATGTACCAAACTTTTATGGGAAGTGCTTTTCATGCATTGTCTTTATGCCAACCCTATGAGCTGGCTGAGCTCTTAAATTTGTACTTGGGGAATAACAAAGATTCGGTGACTGACCCAGTCAATGATGTGTCAAGCTGGATTCAAATCCCCAGTCAATGGTGTGTCTGGGTTTGAGCCGACTCTGCCTGCCTCCACTGCCCTTGCTCTTCTCTGCCTGCCTTGGTTGCCTCCAAGTGCCTTTGGTGGCTGATGGTTTGTTTGGTCCTGAATGCAATTATTGTCCCTTTTTTCAGCATATAAAAGACTTATTTTTTAAAAGTCTAGAAGCATATATACAAAAACATTAATAGCGATTATCTCTGCATGGTGAAATTATGAACGATTTTTGTTTTCCATACGTTGTATTTTCTGAATTTTATGAAATGAGCATTTGTTACTTTTTAGAACTAGAAATGGCACTCTTTCTATAACAGCCGTAATTTTTTCCCCATCCACAGTGCTATTGGTGGGCATTTAATGCATTTAACTATTGCCTCCCACCTTCCCCCATCACGTTAATGGAAAGTTTAAAAGCAGAATTATTGGTGCTTATGTTGCTTACACATGGTTTAACCAAAAGGACAAGAAGCAATGGCTTTGCCTAAGGTTCACAGAGCCCATCTGCCCCAAAAGGAAGTGTGTGCGCTATGTTATCATTGCCTCGGAGTGAGTTTTCTTTATCCTTCAACTCCCCACTTCATACAGTTATTTACTGAGGTACAAACTGCACCTCAGTAAAGAGTTCTTAATACTCTTAGATAACTGGAAAGGGGGAAAAGTATGTTGAAAATTACTTGGATTTATAGAGTAAAATAGAGATCTGATAGCATTCCACATTTCTTAAGTTATTGGAAAATATTGCCCATGATTACATTAATAATTGTAAATTAAAAGTTAGGGGAAAGTAGGAAACACCCCACTCTCATTCTACTTGACATATGTAAATTTTCTGTGAACAAGTGTACTGTACCTATGACTTTTGTGGGGGTACAGTGACAAAGGTACAGTGGAAGCTGTGGCTCTCTGGAGGAAGAATTGTAGAGCCCTGGCTATGAGCTTGAGAGCGCAGGTAAAATCCTCCCAGATTGGAAGCATTTCTGCAGAAACTCTTCAAAAAGATGGGGAAAATGGAATATTTGAGGCTAAAAAAAACAAAGAACAATTACAAATCATCCATCTTAGGTGGATTCAATATATAATTATTCAAACAGGAGTCCTTTCTGTGAGATTTCCTCATTTCCTGAGACCTTATATATGAAACTCTGGGTTTTAGTTAAGACAGGATGGGTTGTTTTGACTTAAAGACCTACTTAGTTTGAAGTTTTGGAGAAAGAGCAGAGTCAGTCTATCTTCATATGTAGTTTGTGTCATCTAATCATGGGTCTCAGTTTACCTGCCCTTACATTAATTTTAGTACAGAAAAAGCCGTAAAATATGGTAAGGGTAGAAAAATCAATTGCTTTCATTAGTAAAATGTCTCTAGAATGTTGCAAAGTAACATTTCAGGCCTTGAATCCAGAGACCCCTTTCACTCCTTTTATTAAGATGTCTTTAAATATATGGGTTTTAAGAAGAGTAAAATGAGTAAAAATTATGAATTCTAGAATAGCAGTTCTCTATGCAGAGCCTTTTAATTTAGATTTTCTTTTCTTTTCTTTTCTTTTTTTTTTTTTTTTTACATTATCCGTCCCACTTCTCCCACCTCCGTGATGAAAACCTTAGTGAGTCAATCTGAATTTCTTGCCTGCTCTTTCTTGTATTGATTTCTAAGAGATCTTTTTTCATTTTTATTTTTTTGGCACCCAGGAATTAAATAGCTTTAATTACTTGGATCTGTACAGACTTGCTGACCTCTTTAACCTCACTTTGTTGGAGAAGGCAGTGATCGATTTCTTAGTGAAACATCTCTCTGAACTTCTGAAGAGCCGCCCAGAAGACGTTCTAACGCTTCCCTATTGCCTGCTTCAGGAGGTGCTGAAGAGTGACCGCCTGACCTCCCTAAGCGAAGAGCAGATCTGGCAGGTAAGGGCACTGTGCACAGTCCTCTTTTGGCACTGACAAGGCATACCATGATTGGAAGTTAAAGGATTGAGGAACAATTACCACTATTTTAGAGGCTTTGGTCCTCACGGAGTTGTTTTAGAAGCCATGCTTCCTTGATGGACAAGTAATTGGAGAATGCTAGCCCTTAAGGCTCAGAGCCCTCAGTGTACTCTGCAGCTTAACTCAGGGAATCTCAGGGGCGATTCATGAGACCCTCACTGTGGCTACCCAGAACCTAATGTGGTCACATCTGAGTCAGGTGATTTTTTTTCCTGAAAAAAAATTGTTTCCTAAACTAAATATGAGGAAAAAATGGATTGTAAAGTGATATGTATGCATATTTAAAACTAGTAGACTCAGAGTAAATTTGGGCCTTTGCTGTAAACAATTCTGAAACATTTCTTTGTTGCAATAGAGAGCAGCTTGGATCTCGAATGAAATGAAGCTCTTTTTGCACAGCAGTGGAAAAATCTCCATCCTTAGTTCATTCTGCATTCATTGCTATTTTCCTAAGCCCTGCCTTTTCGCCTGACATAGCATTCTTTTCACATTGTGTCACTCCTTTGTCTAGAGGACAGGAGGATGTTTTGTGGTTTGAAGTTGATAATTCAATTTAAATCCTCTTCTGCTCATCCCCAGTGACTATCCTTGAACAATCCACATGGTGTCTTTGGGGAACAGTTAGAGAGCCCATCTTCCCCCTTCCTATTACAGCCTGTCTGTCTCACTCTCTGAAGCACTGGCTAGCCGTTTTGTTAGTTCTAGGGTGCCATGCCTCCAAGATTTTACAACCATTTGAAAAATAATTATATACAGGCTACCAGAGAAAATTTAACATCTTCAATTAGCTGATTAAACAGTGAATTCCTAGTATCTTATCAAGTAATATTTAGAGAATATTTTAATTCTGGCCAAAATAGAGTCATATAGGTAGCTGTTTATTGGGTAGCTGACTCTACTGGCTAATGATTTTCCTGATGTCTTTCTCCCTTATTTCATTATTTGTATTACTTTAATCAGTAACTTCCCTCTTCATTATCGCTTCCACCAGAGGCAATTAAAGAGCTGCAGCGTCCTGAAGGCCTTCTGAGTCCCAGGCTCTTTGCAAACTTATTGACAGCAGTCCAGAAAGAATAACTATTATCACTGCATCTACCTGATGCACAAAACGAGGCTTCTTTGCCTTGCTCGGAGGCACAGAGCAGAGCTAGCCTTCAAATGTAGGTCTGCTGACACCTGCTCCCATGTCTTCACTGCCTTGATAAAGAAAATATAGGGACAAAAAAATCACTAAAGAATAAATTTTTGTGGTTCCTGGGTTATTTCTGGTAACGTTTGTTCAGGCAGAGGTTGAACATGTTGGCGAGGATGTGTAGAATTTGGTAGTAATTTGAATTTTCTTTGGTCAATTTGAAGTGGGAAGTAGCCACATTTTCTTCACTTCCCAAGGGAAAAAGAAGATTTGGAATGAATCCTGCATTTAATTTTTTCTAACTGAATTGATATCTAAGGCTAACCATCCTTGTGGCTTCTATCTCTTTTTGTGACGCAGTCGAAGGCACTGCCAGAGATCGACATGGTAATGTGCAGATGGCTGAGTGTCAAGAAAATTCCATACTGTCCACTTAAGAGTTATCATAATTGCCTCTCTAAAGGTTACTAATATTATAATGTAGAATTTTAAAAGCTGGTTTCTGCTGCAGGCAATAATTTTTTTAATACCTGGTTCTCAAGAAAGAATTAAAAGACTCACATAAATATTATCAATTTAGGCATTCAGCAGGCAATAAGAAACTGTTTTTGCTTTATCTTAGTAAATAAGTATTTCCCTCATATTCAACCCCATAGAGAAAAATCAAATCAGATCAGCTATTTTGCCTCAAGTATAGTTAAGTTCATCATTTTTGCCGAGGTTATACTAGTAATGCAATATACCATGGAAGAATCTAATATTCAGCCCAGGGTAGAGATTGGGTATGCCAGAGGATTAGTGTCAGGGTGCTTTATAGAAGTGAAACTTGATGGACAGTCTGGAGACAGATCTACAGAATCTCATTAAATTGCTGAATTGTTCATTATGGAGCATTCTCACTGTAATAAAGTGCTCATTGACTTTGACAAATCCCCATCCCATGTCTTAAAGAAGAAGAGTGAAGCAAAGGGTGTTGGGGAGGAGAAAGGAAACTGGCACAAGGTAGGACAGGCAATAGAAAACTGGATGGAGGGGGGAGGGCAATTTGATTAATATGTGCAACTGGTAACTTAGGTGAGAGCACGGTAAACACACACACTTACGCAGGTGGTCTACTATCTACTGATAGATAATGTAATCGGGGACCGTCCCATTTTGGTGAAAGGTCTAATTTTCATTATTCACCAGACTTCATGCAGTCTGGCTCTGAAGACCTGTCATAAGAAACTTCAAATTATATTCACTGAACAAACTCTTTTTTACTTTTTCCTGCTGTGCCTTACCCAGGCCCTTTCCTTGACAAAATGTGTGGTATGCAGGCCACAGTAATCATTCTGTGGATCCATGAACCTGTAAAATACCCCAAGATGATGCCTTGTAACTATTTTTTGTTTTTTTTTTTTTTTTTTTTTTTGTTTTTTCAATTTTTTTTTTTTTTTTTTTTTTTTTTTTTCTGACCTTTTTAAGCTTTTTTCTGAGTTTTTTCTCACAAAGTGTTCTTGGTCCCTCCTAGACAAATTTTTGTCCCTTCCATAGTCTGAAATTACTTGATCTGTTGGTTAATTTCACTCTATATTTAGAGGTAACATAGAGACTTGTACACATACATACCTTAGATGGATAAGGACATAGAAGTTCCCTAAAATATATTGTTTTAAGAAAAATTTAGTTCAATTCAGCTTAACAGTTTGGTTTTATGTTTCAAGGCGAGGAATTTATCAGGTTCCGGATAAAAGACACCAGATTGGTTATTGGGTTCAAAGAAAAGAGACTAAAACTGAACAAGTCAGCTGAAATGAAAATTTGGGACGTGAGGTCACTGGCATTTGTGACCTAGCAAATCTCTATAAGTTTGATTTTGCTTTTAGACTTTAGCTCCCAATTAGAATTTCGTTTCAGTAGGGCCCTGTTAAATATCTTCTGTTAGATTTTGCATATATTTTCAAACTGCTGAGCCAGGATCTTGCCATAGGAGCTGGGGAGTGCAAGAAGTGGGGAGATGTTGGTCAAAGGGCACAAAACTTTCAGTTAGAAGATAAACAAGTTCTGGAGATCTAATGTACAGCATGGGTTCCAGGGATTTGTTAATTCATTTGATTGCGGTAATCATTTCCCAGTGTATTGCCTATCAAATCATCATATTGTGAACCTTGAATATATATAATCCTTAACTGTCAGTAAAATATTTTTATATAAATAAGGCAAAACATGGCAAGTTTTCATAAAAAAAAAAACTTAGAACAACACAGTGAAATAATTCCATATCGTTCTTATGATTGGATCTGTTTTCATTTTCATAGGAAGTGCTGACTCATCTCTGTTTTCAGGGACATGCATTTCCTGCCTCTTCTGCCTTTAGGTTCTCTTTCACCAGAGTGAGAGATTACTGTTTTCCGTGGGAGTACAGCTTATAGAAAAAGCCTGAATATAACATCAATTCTTCTACACACTAGCATAGGGAGAAAGTATGGCTCCCCACCCATCAATATGTGCTCAGTATCTACTAAATGCCCCAAAGTATGCTAGAGTGGAAGGAAGGCAGAGGACAGGCCTGCTAACTCCATTCCCCTCTCCCAGGCCTCCTCCCAAATGGAGAGAAGCCATAAGTATGATTTTAAACCATAAGTACAGCTCTCGAATTTTTATTTTATCTCCAAAGTAGCAGAAATAAGATACATATTTTAAAATGAAATAAAATAGCTTGTGGAAATACAAATGAGTATTTCTTGACCACCTGTTACATGTTAGGCATTGTGTTGAGAGCTAGATTCTGGGGTAAAATGTTTTACAAAAATATTCAATAGTTAGGTTAGAGAAATTTATTTCATCCTTATCTCTGAATGTGAAGTTTTGTTTTCCTTTAATTATTTGTTTATAACTGTTTCTTACTTTTAGTGAAAGGACTTATTATTTTGTAAGAACAGTAATTTTCTGGCTTGGCACGGTGGCTCATGCCTGTAATCCCAGCACTTTGGGAGGCCAAGGCGGGTGGATCACCTGAGATCCAGAATTTGAGACCAGCCTGGCCAACATGGTAAAACCCCATGTCCACTAAAAATACAAAAATTAGTTTGGTGTGGTGGCAGGCACCTGTAATCCCAGCTACTCTGGAGGCTGAGGCAGAGGAGTCACTTGAACTGGGAGGAAGAGATTGCAGTGAGTGGAGATTGCGCCACTATACTGTAGCCGGGATGATACAGCAAAACTCTGTCTCAAAACAAAAAACAAAAAAAGAACAGTACTTTTCTTACTTTATTAACCTTGGAGTTGAGGACACTTCTTACTTGTATTTTGAGTCTTACTTTGCCTGGACTTCAGTAGATACTAAGACCAAAAAATTCACTGGTTATGTGAGTGACATCAAACAAGGCGAAACGTGAGTGACATCAAACAAGGCAAGAGCTCAGCAGGGAGGGTTTCGTTTATTCTATTATTCTATTCTATTCTGTTATTGAATAAATTCTGTTACTTTTAATGGCAAAGACTGCTATTACTTTTGCGCCAACCTAATAATTATGTCTCATTTTAGTGCGGCAAAGAGGGTCCATGTCACCGGATTTGGGGCTGAGGCAATCCTGTTCATATTTGTCCGCAATTGTCCATCCCTAGAGGCAGAGGCTGTGCTGTAGTGTTTGCATTACCCACTGCCATGTTCTCTTGCACTCTATTAATAATTAATAAAAACAATAATGTAGAGTTTTCATATTAAAATGTTTTGAATGGATAATAAGATATCCTCTATTCCTACATAAGACTGGATTTATTCTAAGAAAATTGATACAGAAAA